CACACACACACACACACACACACACACACACACACACACACACCTTTGCGAGTGGCAAACTCATTTTTACTCCACTCCTTATTTAGACAATTTTCTCACTCATTCTCCATTTAATGTATAATTTTCCTGCATCTAAAACTCATTTCTGATCCCACATAACTGATGAGTTTGGTAGAACTTAGAAAAATATTTATTAAATAGTTAAAGTGAAGGAACAAGTCTCAGCGTTTCTGCTGGGGTGTGATTTATAATTTAGAATCATGAAGTTTCTCATTCAGATCAGCTGCATGACTCGACTCAGAACTACAGTAAAATACCTGATTGTTTATTTGTTCAGTGTGATACAAACAAACAAACAAACAAAMMAAACAAACACACTGTCCTCAGTTCTTCTTGTGCTGATATCATCCTGCAGAACAGCTGACATTGATCCATAAATTACACACAACTTTACGCAGCAACAAATCTGTTGTCTGCATCTTGTGGAGCTGAGGAATCATCACATCTGAGCTGTTCTGAATTAATCTGCTGAGTTGATGTTTTTTTCTCAGTGAGAATTAAAAATGTTTCTTAGACAATTCCTCAGCTGTGTGTGCACCTCGCAGGCCTGCACTCTGTGTGTGTTTCCAACTACGTGACAACAATATAAAAACTTTACAGTTTACAGACTGGACTGAGGTTATTTTGATCAGTTTTAGACTGATCTGTTTTCTTTTCTGAGGTTAAATGATTTTCAGTCCCGGGGTTCAGTTTCATCATCGTTCAGTTTAAACAATAAAAACTCAAACTAAAATAAAAATCTAACACTGTGTTCAGACGCTCCTTACATCCAGAAAACACAACAGAGTCATATTTCTGTGGATTCAGGTCAGATTCATGACTTTGTGAGTTAAAACTGTCGACTGAAAAATTTTGTGTGTCTGCTGCACATTCTCACAGCAGGAACATTGGTTTTGATACATCCCAACGTGGGCGTAGAACCTGGTGCACCGTTTTTACATGAAGCCCAGGTCTCTGCCCAGCACCAAACTCTGTATATGTGTCTGCTGCAGAACCTGTGACAGTGACCAGTGACTCAGAGAGTGAAATCTTCTGTGACTCTGTGGATTCAGTGGAGCAGCTGAGCTACATCAAAGTAGGTTTTAGTTCCATCCTCCAGCTGATTATCTGATGCATCTAAAATGAATCACTGATAATGGTTTAAAAACATTTTTAAAAAGGTCCCAATTGTCAAATCGAATGGCTTTCACAACGGCCTGGAGTTGTATCCAGCTCAGGGAGATCAGCAGAAGGGTCACCTGGAGGGCAGGCAGGTCGGATCAGGTCACGGTGGAGAGGGAGCAGAGGATGGAAGGGGGCAGGGGTCCCCCCAGAGGAACCAGGAAACTGGCAGAGAAGCTTCGTACCATAACTGGAGGGAAGGTAAGCTGATGTGTTTGAAATGTGCTAAGTTTTTAGTTTCATCATATCAGAGAAGCATGAAACAAAAATGAAGAGTATTCATTCTGTTCACTGCTGGTTCTGGTCTCCATAAATTACTCTACCTGTTTAATCTCCTGTTCCTCAGAGTTCAGGATCACTTTACTATCTTCCTCTGGAACCAGGGTACAGAGGTCATTTTGTTTGAAAACTATATTTAAAATCTTCCAAAGCTTTAAAGATTATACAGTACTTGTCCTGAATTTTGCAGTGGTGTCACCTCCTGGACACGTTAATTTGATATCAGAGCTTGCTTTGTATTTGTTCCCTTTTTTGTTCTATTATCACCTGCTTATTTCTCTTATTATCTCTGGTATTTCTCTGTTTGTTTGTAATCAAAATAAGTCACATGAGATAACCACTGACCAGTGTCTGCACAGATTTTAATGCAAACTTTCAGAAATAAAAACTAGATTTACATCTACAACTGAATTAACTTCTGGAGTCAACCCAATTCAAGATGGCTGCCCCAGACAACAGACTGTAACTCAGTCAGTTGTGCAGATACTGAGCTAACTGTTGATGTGGTAGTAGCTGACAGTCATTACCAGCACACACTGCGAGTGTGACACCTCACATGCTTTATTCTAAAGATTTGTGTGAGTGAGGAGCTGCTTGTGTCTCAGGTCCTTAGAAACATTGTGGGTTCTGTGTTGCATCACCTCATCTCGGTTTGGTCTGTAGCTGGTGGTCCACGAGGCGGTCCGAGACGGGCGACCCCGGACGGTGGAGGTGGAGCTGGACGAGGAGGGGGCGACGGGTTTGAGGGCAGGGCGGAGAGGCTGCATGATGCCCACCTGCAGCAGCAGATCATCCTGGCTCTACGGAGGCTCAGAGAGGACATGAGCAGTGTGATGGAGAGGCTGGAGGTGGTGGAGAGGCTCGCTGCGTCGCATGTAAGTGTGTCATCTGTTCCACTGCTTCAGCTTCTTCTGTCAAGGCTCTCTCTCTCTCTCTCTCTGTGTGTGTGTGTGTGTGTGTGTGTGTGTGTGTGTGTGTGTGTGTGTGTG